AGAATGTCGAATCCAACTGATCAAGTAGCTCATGCTATAATAATGTCAACATGAGATACTCGTGTATACAAGTTACAGTGTCAGGATTAAGGACTATGCATCCCGTTAGAGTACTAGTAGTACCGAAGGTCTTGTATCCCAGTACAGTGCCGGTGACAAACAGCCATGTATCCTGTTACAGGACTTGCTTCACAGGATCTTGCATCTTCTCAGAGCCTGTTCTAAAATCTGGGGAATCTTGTCAGAATGTCCTCTCTGTCAGCCAGGCGCCTCTAAGGAGTGACAATGCAGGTAAACTTGACTATTCTAAAGTTCATAACCTCGGAAAAAAAGGGAAAACTAACGAGTTAGATTTCAAGATTAAGCTCCTACGAAGGTACTTTACAGCTTGGAGAACAAAGCTCTCAGAGAAGATATAGGTCGTTCACTCTATGTGATAGAGCAGCCCATTCTCCTGTGTTGGTAGTCCTTATAGTAACGTTGAGGACCATAGTCTGTATACCGACATACAACGAAATTAGAGAGTAGAAGACGCTGGAGTGTGGGTACTGGAAGATACTGGAGTGCGGGTACTGGAAGACACTGGAGTGTGGATATTAGATGATGGGTAACAATTCAGAGGAACAGCTCTCTCTCTTTGAGTTGCAACAGGAATCTTGGTATATAAATAACTTACCTAAACGAGAGAGCAGTAGTCAAGGTAAGTGCAGAGAAAACTTTTTTTTGAACTCAAATAGCTGGGGAAATTTAATGCTTGAGCTGAAAGAAGATCCCCAACTTTATGGAAGCCCTCTTGGCACTCTCTGATATATGACTGGCTTCCAGAACAAGTCCAATGGGACTGTGATGACCAGCGTATTGATGTGAGGCTTCCAGGACAAGTCCAATGGGACTGTGATGACCAGGGTATTGATGTGAGGCTTCCAGGACAAGTCCAATGGGACTGTGATGACCAGGGTATTGATGTGAGGCTTCCAGGACAAGTCCAATGGGACTGTGATGACCAGGGTATTGATGTGAGGTTTCCAGGACAAGTCCAATGGGACTGTGATGACCAGGGTATTGATGTGAGGCTTCCAAGGCAAGTCCGATGTGACTATGATGACCATTAAGTTATGTCAGGTAGGTTAGGTTATGTAAAGTTACGTTACATAAGTTTGGTAAGTTATATAAGATACGTCTGGATAGGTAATTTATGTCAAGTAGGCTAGGATATGTAACTGATATCATGTAGGGAGGGGGGGGGGAATCGCTAGATAAGTTACCTCAGGTAGGGTAGATTAGGTAAGTTAAGTTAGTAAGGTAGATTATAGAAGTTTCATCAGGTAGAGGGGGTAAGTAGGTAAGTTGGGCTAGGTAAGTTACATTAGGTTAAGTTAGCTCAAGTAAGTCAGGTTAGATAGGATGATGCATTGTTGATCACAGAACAGTTCAAGATTAAATGCTTAAGAAAATATATTTTAACATAACAATTAATAACATAAATGAAAGTTTGTTACGAAATATTGAACTAGATACTTCAAGAATTCACAAGTTATTATGAACAGAGATGTGAAGCATAGTAATAATGCCGCTAACATACTGGTTTTGGCCCTTTTGTATTACGTTGATGAAAAGACTTTACTCATTTTTACTTAACACATTGGTTTATTAGTACTTAAAGTTACACGTGCTTAGTTTTATATGGTATTTAAAGTTGATTGTGCCTATATAATGACGTGTCTTAGTAAGTTTAGCACAAACTTTAGTTTACACATTTCTTGAAAAGTTATCCTTGACTACTTATTAATTGAATGAAGAACAATGTTTGTTACAGAGAGCATTATTTGATGCACAAAGAAGTTCTAAAGAGTAAATTTTTTTATATTAAGACGGATTAAAGTGGACGAATGTTAATTAAGTTATATCGGAATGTATTATTGTTTTCTTGGAGAGATTCTTTAAATGCACGAAGATGACATGAGAGAATCATTTGATGCATAAAGATGTCTTAGAAAGTACGAATGTTAATTATAAATATCTTGGAATGTATTTTTGTTGAGTAAAGATGTCTTTGAGATATTCTTTAATGAATGAAGATGATTAGAGAGTATCATTCTTACATAAATAAAACATAGAGAGTCTTTTAATGCTTGAAGAGTATTCTTAATGATTCCGAGATTACCTTTGATGACTCTGGGAATAACTTTTGATGGTAAGAATAGTATTTTGATGTCTTGAAGTGTATCTTGGTCTAATTTTCTTACTCCACAAAGTATAATGTAAGTTACAAAAGTGTTGAAAGAAGTTACATTTTACTATTTTCAGTTAAGTGAAGTGTTATTTAGTTAAGAACGATGTTGGAAAGAACGAACAGGGAGTCATTTTATTTAAGAAATGATTTAAAGAAGTTTCACTTGGCAATTTTCAGTTGATTAATGAATGATTTTAGTTAAGAAACGTTAAGAAAAAATGTCTTAGTAAATTTGTTACTGAATAAAGTGCATTTTTTTAAGAACAGTTGCGGTAAGAAATATTAAGTTGATAAAGAAATACATTGACATAATTGATTGAAAATATATCTTAGCAAATGACTAAATAAATATTATGTAATAAATAAATTGTAAATATCTAAATAAATTGTAACTAAATTTGCTAACCAATCAATCAAATCAAATTTAAATAAATTTATCCGATCGACCGATTAATATTTGCAATTAAATAAATTTATCCGATGCGATCAAATGCTGTAATGCTGTTAATAATATATAACAATGAACTAGTTACTGAACTGAAGAAACAACTTTACATTTAATTTTAAAGAACATGTTAGAGAATGTGAAGAACACAGTGAACATGCAGGGGAATGGAGGGAGAGAGGGAGGTATGAAGGAGTAAGGTATGGAGGGGGGGGGGAATATTCGGGGGGAGGGGCGGGAGGAGGGGAAAGGGAGGACTATCAGGAGAAAGTGCAAAGCCATTACGACTATATAGCACTCGGAAGGGGCCAGGATAAGAATTTGGGGATGGGATGGGGCCGGGGGGGGGGGGGGGGGGGAGGAATGGTGCCCAATGACTTGGACGGTCAGGACCGTGTGATCATTACCCGGTGAGTGGGTATTTCCACAGTTAAGTAAACAAGAGTATTGAAGGAGAGGTGATAGGTGGGTGCCAGTCTGATGTACTGGAATAACTACGCAGGTGATGAGTCACAATAACGTGGCTGAAGTATGTTGACCAGACCACACACTAGAAGTTGAAGGGACGACGACGTTTCGGTCCGTCCTGGACCATTCTCAAGTCGAACAACTTAAGGAATAACTACGTTTGATGAACCTTGATGGCTGGAGGACAGGAGTTGGAGCTCGGTCATACTGTTTTCTTCTCTTACTAAGTTTGAATTATGCATGTTTTTAAATTTTGTTGTGATTGAACTGATAATAACAACTTACGAGAACTGAGGCGGGGACAGGAGCTGGAACTCGGTAATTAAATTGCTGTAATTTACTACGTCTGAAATACAGCTGTTTTAAATTTCAAGGGTATTGATCTGTTATTAGCGGAGTTGTACGAATGAACTAGGGCGGAGGACAGGAGCTGAATGTCAGTAATTGCTTTGATTTATTTTATTACGTCCGAAATGTAGCGGTTTTAAATTTCAGGAGAATTGGATACTTATGAAGTTAAATGAGTAAAGTAAGGCAGGGGACAAGAGCTGGAGCTTGGTTACTGTCTTAGTCTGATTCACTGCATTTGAAATAACTATGTTTTAAATCTCGAGGAAATTGATCAGATAATAGCGGAGTTGTATGAATGAAGTAAGGCAGGGGACAAGAGCCAGAGCTCGGTAACTATTTTATTTTCTTACTACGTCAAAAATATGACGTAGTAAGAAAATGTCTTAAATTGGGCTCAAGTAAGTAATAATCAAAAAAAGGCACCAAGCCGGGAAGGCTATGTGCTCCAATTGCGCTACTAGTAGTGAAACTTCACTTATTAACATATAGAACCAGGTCCAAGAACTAACTTATGATGCTGTGAATTACTTTTAAAAGAGAAGCTTAAGTCTGTAGAGTTTATTTTCATCCATAAGAACTCTTTAATGCCGCAGGTGTAAATAAAACTCTGAAAATATATAAAGGCGGGTCCAAGAACTAACTTCTGATGAACTTTTTAAAAATATATGCTTAAGTCCGAAGAGTTTCTTTTCTCCATAAGAATTCTTTAATGCCGCAGCGAGGATTAAACTCTGACAAAATTGAGTCTTAAGCGAGAACAGAGTGTATATTATTAACATAAGAATTCTTTAACAAACTCCTAATGAACATATTCTCTGAATATATGAACTATGAAATATTTCCCTAAAACTAGACTCTGAAAAAATTCCGCCCCCGAAACTATGCGAGAGAGAGATGACTTTCGGGGAGTTCACTAAATACCCCGTGACGTGACGCAGCGATGACATTCTAAATAAAAAATGTCTCCGCTAAGGCTTCAATCCCACTACTAGCGTGGGTGAGAGGACATGAGTCATGGAGCTCAGATGAGTCAAACAAGAGCTCAGCTCTTGTTTTGTTCTTGCACATTTTAGGAAACACACACACACACACACACACACACACACACACACACACACACACACACTCACACACACACACACACACACACACACACACACACACACACACACACACACTCACACACTGCAAAACACACACAGACACTTTTTATTATATATTTTTGTTATACTATTTTCCAACCACTTGGGCTGGAGGGTATAAGCGACGGTCTCGCTGCTTCACGCAGGTCGACTTTCAATCCTCGACCGTCCAAGTGGTTGGGCACCATTCCTTCCCCAAGTCCCATCCCAAATCCTTATCCTGACCCCTTCCTAATGCTATATAGTCATAATGGCTTGGCACTTTCTCCTAATAGTTCCGTACTCTTTTTTTTTACACAACAAAGGTGGATAGCGATATGTATGCCAGTGTCCATGTGGCTCACTCAACAATAGGGGGCTTTCAATAACTTGAGATAGCATCCAGGGTAGAGTCCAACAGCTCTTCTGTTGTTGGCCTCATTTCCGTTTTGCGGCTTATTCCCCGTTTTGCAAGTGTCTCAAGTTCGCGAGGCTTGCGCACCATGACTTGAATGATCTCAAGGATCATTAGAGACAAGCCGAAGATATCCGTGCTACAGGTGAGGGGCTCCCCTATGATCGTCTCATATGAGTACCACGGAGTCTGTTTCAGCTCTTTATCTGCTCCGTTTTCGTACGTGGTTTCAAAGGGGGAGACTCGTCCAACGAAAGTAGAGACTCCGAAGTCTATAATAGAAACCTTGGGCGCCATTGGGTCGCTGTGATCTATAACAACATTATCGGACTTTAGGTCCACGTGCACCACTTCCTTTTCGTGTATTTCCATCAGTTTAACGATCATTTCCTTAATTATCAGCAGGGAAAACTGATCATCCATGTGGACGACCCCTCTTCTATGTTTCTGGAGCAAGCTGTCCAGATTATCGGCGCCGGCGTAGGTCATGAAGAAACACGCCTCCTCAGGATAGGTGCACAGCACATAGGGTGCTCCCCCAGCACCGTCCAGCAGCTCCAGGAATGCCACCTCTTTCAGCATGTCTGCGGTCCCGGTTACTGGGTTAAGCATAATCTTAAGGACAACCGGGGTGTCGAGACCGGGAAGGTCCCAAAGTTCAGTCTTCCCAAAGGCTCCACTTCCAAGCTCCCGAACCTTAAGGACTTTCTTATGCTTCTTTATCCATTGCTTATCGCCATGTAATTTAAGCTAACGTTTGGCAAGAGAAGACTTCTCCTGTTTACAGGAACAACACCCCATGATGTCGCTCTTGCTGACCTTCTCTATACGATAAACTCGCCTCACTAACCTTTCACTAGTGTGTTGACGTGGTGTGAGCGGACGCAGCTCGGGTAATATCCTACATGCAGTAATATAGTTAGGAGTGTTATAGTGAGGGGTTACCGGTTGAGGCTTATGTAATTAGGAATATTGTTAGGAAGGCGTATGTAAAAGTGTACTCACCTAGTTGTATTCACCTAGTTGTGCTTGCGAGGGTTGAGGTTTGGCTCTTTGGTCGCACCTCTCAACCTTCAGTCTACTAGTGTACAGATTCCTGAGCTTCTCGAGCTCCATCATATCTGCATTTGAAACTGTGTATGGAGTCAGCCTCCACCACATCACTTCTTAATGCATTCCATTTACTAACTACTCTGATACGGAAAAGTTATTTCTAATGTCTCTGTGGCTCATTTGGGTACTCAGCTTCCACCTGTGTCCCCTTGTGCGTGTACCACCCATGTTAAATAATCTATCCTTGTTTACCCCTATCAATTCCCCAGAGAATTTTGTATGTGGTGATCATTTCTCCTCGAGCTCTTCAGTCTTCCAGCGACGTGAGGTGCACTTCACGCAGCCTTTCCTGATAACTCATGCCTCTTAGTTCTGGGTATTAACATACAATATACAACACTCAGACAATTATGTATACGCTATTATCCAGAACGCTATACTGAAAACTGGCGCCAGAGATGCCCTGGCGCCAGTTACAACTATAATACGAACATGTAATGATAGAAAATAATGCTATAACATTATTTATATATATAGAAACGTGTGAAAGCTCTATTAACTACTTAATTAAGGAAGAGTTAAGTAAATAGTGGAGAAACAGCCGTGATTATTAGAACCAAACAAAGGTGAGGGAGACAAAGGTTGCGAGACATGAGGAAGATGCCGTAGAGGAACTGGGGTACAGGAACGATGGGAGATCATCCTATGATACTCACCAGGAACCCACGCTGGCGTCGAGTATCAATGCGAATATCACTGGAGCAATCCGGGGAAGGGGGGTCGAACCAGCGTTCTGGATAATCCGCTGGGGTTAATCAGAACGTTTGCTTCATAATCCCCCCCCCCCCACAGGATTTCACCAATGATTTCGGCCTTATCGTCTGCTGGTATGGTGGTGATGACGTGTTGACACTGCACTACAGTATGGGTGACACTGTGGTGTGGGGAGCGGCCCCGTACCACCGTGTATCACATTATCTGCCACACAACAGGTAACATTCCCAGCTGGAGATCTGGTAATATTCTGTACCACGTCTGCTGCAGTAGTTACAAAATGGTAGTGAATATCTGCTTGTAACTATTTTCTTGATTCATGTAAGTTAATGAAGTCATTTATAGGATTTGAGTGGAGTGGATAAGAGTGGATAAGAGTGGATGAACAATGCCAAAGTGTTATTTTGTGAAAGTGTTGATCATACGTCATAGTTTTCTCTCTGTATGGAAGTAAATGTTTTTTGTGTATTTCTCTGGAATAACTATTTATTATTTTATTGTAAATTTTATCTACGAAGTGGATAATTTTTTTTTTGTAAATTTATGTAATCTCCGTTATAGATACACTTGTTACCCGGCGTTGCTCGGGAGCCGCAGACCACATCTTCACTACACACTGTCTTCATCACTGTAACCATCTTCACTACACATTGTCTTCATCACTGTAACCATCATCAGTACACACTATTTTCATCACTAACAACGTTCACTATAGCCTGTCATCATCACTGTAACCATCTTCACCACACACTGTCTTCACTGTAGGCATCATCACTACACACTGTCCTTCTCCCTGTAACCATCTTCAGTACACACTATCTTCATCACTGTAAACAACGTTCACTATACACTATCTTCATCACTGTAACCATCTTCACTACTCAACCATTATTAATGTGTCCATATTCACAATACCCGACCATCTTCACTATATAACCATCTTAACTGCAACTTGTCTTCATCATTAAAATCCAAACAAACAAACACACACACATCTTCACTATCCGGGAACTGCTAGGTATCCCATCTGCATCCATCATCACCATCTCTTCTTCATCACATTATCTGCCCTTTACCTTCCCTACCCTTCACCACCTCTACCCCTCACCATCTTCCCTACCCTTCACCACTTTCCCTACCCTTCACCACCTTCCCTCTCACTACCACAGTTTTGGCGTCGTTATGATTAGGTTTGAAACATGACAAAAACAACCACCTCACGACATCAGTATACATGGATGAGAACGGTCAGTATACATGTATGAGAACGGTCAGTATACATGTATGAGAACGGTCAGTATACATGGATAAGAACGGTCAGTATACATGGATGAGAACACTCAGGTCAGTATACATGAATGAGAACACTGAGGTCAGTATACACGAATGAGAATACTAAGATCAGTATACATTAATGAGAACACTGATGTCAGTATACATGGATGACAACACTCAGGTCAGTATACAGGAATGAGAACACTGAGGTCAGTATACATGAATGAGAACACTGAGGTCAGTATACATGGATGTGATCACGTATGAGGACGGACTAAGAAGGATAACTTAACACTTGGATTAATGAGGAAGGATGTCAAGAGGATAAATGTATGTTGTAGATGTTTGTGAAATATATTTGTTTACAGAGAAGTAACAGAAGAATTACAATGATCAAAAGAAGGCACCAAATTGGATGAGTTATTTTTTGTCACATATTTGCTTTAGTGCCCTGAGGCAGAAGGGTGAGAACGTGAGTCTTGGATGAGTAAGTCAGCCATAAGGCAGAAGGAAGGGTGAGAACGTGAGTCTTGGATGAGTAAGTCAGCCATAAGGCAGAAGGAAGGGTGAGAACGTGAGTCTTGGATGAGTAAGTCAGCCATAAGGCAGAAGGAAGGGTGAGAACGTGAGTCTTGGATGAGTAAGTCAGCCATGAGTCAAAGGGCTTGGTGAGAGGATCTTAGTCTTGGATGAGTAAGTCAGCCATAAGGCAGAGGGCTTGACGAGAGGATCTTAGTCTAAGATGAGTAAGAGTTCTGTTATAAAGTTTTGTAAACACTCTCACACGCACACCTTTTTTTCCCTATTTTCTTTTTTCTTATTATTTTCTTGGGAGGGTAAGTATGTGTGGTGTATACAAGAGGGAGCGAGTAGCTCTCACTACAGCACCGGGCCGGTCAAGACCAGTGTTGCTGCACCAGTGTTGGGTCATATCCCGAGCAACGTGCAACACAATGGTTGCATGGTTGGCCTGAGTATAGATCGTCACAGCTCATCCCTCGTGCTGCTAGTATCTGGAAGCTGGTGGGGCTTGCACACCGTGACACCAACAACCTGGTGGATCACATGGGACACCCCCCCCCATACGAGATCGGTACCAGAGGGGATAGGCAGACAACCCTCCATTACAGTTTCGAACGCGAACTAAAGATCGAGATCCTAAAGTCTATATTAGATGCTAAAGATACCAAAGATACCAAACACATTCACACATACCAAACACACACATGCACCACACACACACACACCACAGATACAAACATATCATACACAAAAACATGCCACCACTGACAAACACACAAACATAAACCCAACAAGCACACACGCCACACACAAACATACCAAACATACACACAAATACACACACACACATAAATAAAAGACAAACACACACACCAAACACACAAATACGTCAAACATAAACACACACAAACACAAACACACAAAAACATTCCAAACACAGACACATACTAAACACACACACTACCACATCAATACACACCAAACACACACATACATAAACACAGACACACACACTCACACGCATACACACCAAACACACCCAAACACACACACTATATTGTAATGGTTACCTGTCAGTACTTTCCACACACACACACACACACACACACACACACACACACACACACACACACACACACACACAAACACATGCATGTATAAACAAACTCAATCACTCACATATCGACATATCCTGCCCAACTTCTGGATGAATCCAGTGAAGAGGAAACCACACACATTAAGTATTTGTTTCTTTTTTAAATTAGAAATGTATTAATACGATATTTGTACGTTTGCTAAAAATGTATACGATTTAATTGACTGGAATCAACGTATTTTATAGGTTAAAAAGACGACTTTATATAAATAATTACAGTGTCACCTTTCTGCTACCAAATAAAAACGACAGAAAACTTGTATTTACTGGGAGGGTATTGATGTGAGGCTGCCAGGACTGGTCTGATGTGACTATGATGTCCAGGGTATTGATGTGAGGCTGTCAGGACTGGTCTGATGTGACTGTGATGTCTAGGGTATTGATGTGAGGCTGCCAGGACATGTCTGATGTGACTATGATGTCTAGGGTATTGATGTGAGGCTGTCAGGACTGGTCTGATGTGACTGTGATGTCTAGGGTATTGATGTGAGGCTGCCAGGACATGTCTGATGTGACTATGATGTCTAGGGTATTGATGTGAGGCTGTCAGGACTGGTCTGATGTGACTGTGATGTCTAGGGTATTGATGTGAGGCTGTCAGGACTGGTCTGATGTGACTGTGATGTCTAGGGTATTGATGTGAGGCTGTCAGGACTGGTCTGATGTGACTATGATGTCTAGGGTATTGATGTGAGGGCTGCCAGGACAGGTCTGATGTGACTATGATGTCTAGGGTATTGATGAAGGGCTTAAAGGCTCAATATACCAGTTTTGACAAAAGGCTTGTAGGTAAATGCTGTTT